AGCCTGTGTCCAAGTGCTGACCTTCTGATTTTGCTCATCAATTCTGAGGGTTAATGTACGAGATCTATCAGGTCAACAGATTTGTCTCCGCGAGCTCTGTCAGGTCTATAAATGATTAGGGGAAAAAAATGCATTTGGCCACTGAACCCTATTAAAACTTCTGAGAATAAATGTGAACTCAATGTGACTGCTAATATATTCTTTCCACTCTCTTGTGTTAATAATGCTAATATGTTTTTTCTCCTCGTTATTATGTATTTTAAATGAGCGCCATAAACCAAACCTGTGTGACAAGGGCTTAAGGAGTTAACAGGGTAAGGATATGATCCAAATTCCAACTCCATCCGCTGTCGATGTAACGTTTCATCATGGGCGGGAAGTTGAATCGGGCGATACCCAATCCCTTTCCTTTTGGACTGATGCGAGATAACAGAGGCATACATTTCTGAACAAGTGAAATATAAACTCTGCGCAGAGTTTGGAGCTTTGAGACGCCTCCCCCCCACTCCTCCTTTTGAATGGCCGCCGCGGAGATGTCGGAGAAATCTATTTCTCATTTTGAGTGATATCTCTATCAGCTGGCACGTTCGCACCATGAATCTTCCCCCCATGTTAAACCCGGAATCTGTCTCTTCAATGACGGGCCGTGTGTTTAAAATGACCACTCTTGTTTTTTGTAATGGGCGTCTGTGTGTCACGGAGGTTACAAGTGAAAGGGCAGAATAGAGCTGTCTGGCGAAAGGCCTCTGATAGAAAGTGCCACTTCAATTTGAGCACAGCTGCAGTTAAGCCCGGCCTGGCTCACTGTCCAGCCCGACACTTCACATTCTCTTCTCCTGCGACTGGAATGGATGTGAAAACTATTAACTTTAGACAGAGTTTTGGCCTGACCAGTTCTGATCTCTTCCCCTTATTCATTGCTTATCTCCAGCTTGTTTTGTCAGGGTTGCACGCTGACAAAGACTGTCTCAGACACCATTTACATTTTGTTTATTCAAGTTTGCTGACTCTCTGAAGACTTTTAAAAAAAAGAAAAGGTTGGGCTCAAAGTCAATTTTAAAACAAAGTTTTTTAACCGCAAAATATCACAAACTGTCGTGCACCATTAAATTACATCTTACTTTACTTTTTATATCACTTTTCCTTTGGAGAGGCCTTTTGACTACAGGCTACACATCTCCTAATTTGGTGATGAGGGGGTTTAACAGTCTGAGGAACTCTATCCCCGGAGCTGCTGACAGTCCTCAGCCCCCCTGAGTCCCTGCTAAGGATGGAGCTCGTGGTTAGAGAAAAGACTACTGGCTCTGTTTTAAATATTCGTTGTGGTTTGAATTAGAAAGGGGATAAATTCTCTGAATAATGATCGCAAAACATTTAGCTTCAGCTGCCCGGGTGAAACAAAACACGCTCGAGCGAAACTTTGAACTGCTCTTCCTTTTTTTTTTTTCCTCCCGCAGCCGTTTTGTTTTCAAATTGTAGCGCTGAGTTCATGGGAAACTCGCTCCGAGGTTACCTGCGCCCCCGAAAAGCGATGGAAAAAAAGGATTACGGCCGCAAGAATGTTTTTGCAGTTAGTTGAAATATTACTAACCTTGTCAAATGTCATTTTGAATGAGAAAGCAAACATATTTTAATCAGGGTTTTAAAGGCAGGGCTCCTCAAACGGCGACTCCAGGAGAAAGGGGTCAGCTAATTGCAACGTTTGATGTCATGTTTGGTCTCTCTCTCCGTTTTGATGCGACTGCCTGGAAGCATGCTCGCTCTCTTGCTCCACTCCATGTGCCTGCCTCTATGTCACACACACACACACACACACACACACACACACACACACACACTTTATCACACACGCGGTCGAAAGAAAAACTGCTAAAAGGTCCGAGAGTTCTCAATGCTGTAATCTTCATAAAGTCTTTGCTCCTACTTCCTGTCGGCCCTCGTCTCAACTTTAACCTCCAACCTCTCTTCTCCTGCACCACTGAAACTTTGGCTGCTCCACACAGACCTGACAATGGTAAGATTTAGGGATCTTATTCATAATTTTGTGAATGAATGTGCACGGGCATGCCAGTGCATCAATAGCAGGGTATGACCTTGGCTGAAAGTTAAAATATATACCACGCCTGGACCAAAGGTTCGTACAAAGCGCTCCCACCGTCCTACAGCAGGTTAATCTTCCAAACACACAGTCCCAAATCTCTTTGGTTCTCATAATTACTGTTTTAACAGCAGCAGAGGGGGGTGGTAGCAGAGGGATATACATTTTAAATTATGTTTGACAAGGTGGGGTTAGTGGTTTTGTCGTGGCTTGTCTTTAGTTATTACTCATACTTCCTCCTGCCATAGATAAGGTCTGCTGGTGAACATACCAAGGTGAGCGCTGGCGCAGGGCCCTTATCGCCACCATTGATTTAGGGCAAGAACCCAGTGACAGAGGTCATTGTGCAGTAAAGCTATCCATCATTCCGGTTTGATTTCTGCTCCAACCTGTCTCCAAGTTGTCTACACGTACGCGAGTCACAAGGAGTAGAGGCCACGGGAGGGTTGGACTGGTGGGAGGTGTGATGTGGACGGCGTGTTGAGAAGCTCTGTGTGTTAAAATAATAATTTTAAGGCTGTTATTGCAGGTTGAGTCGTATTAAAGAATAATGTTTATATTAAGTTAACTTAATTTGATCCTCTAATTGTTGTGTAGAATCCACAAACTATTAGTCTTACATTTAAAGCCTTGGATGAAAAAAAGCAGCCTTGAATTTGTTTTCCACCGGTAGCTGATTGCTGATCTTTCCACTCTCTTTGCCACTCACAGTAATTCTCCATGTGTCCTAGACATTTTCTGAGTATGTGTTTGAGACGCTCACATTTTCCCCCCCTCTGATTTAAAATTCAAGGTAGTTTTCAGCATGTGGTAAATAAATTAACAATCATAAACACAGTTTTCCCTCCTTGCAGGGGGATTTTTTTCAGACGCCTGAAGATGGGTATTTATTGCTGTTAATGTTGTTCGTGGCCTTCGTGGCTAGACTTGTAACTTTTGGCTTAAATGTTGTATTTACCCTGGCTTCAAATTGGGGAGCTCGAACTTTCAAATATGCTATGAGTCATTATTGATTTGTCATGAAGATTATTTATTATGCCTTTTTTTTCACTAACTTCTGCAAAAGTTGGAAGCTGTCAGAGACTCTCCTGGAGTGATTGCATGTAAACGGCTGTAAACTGTCGACTCCTGAGGGGAAAGGTATTCCTGCAGAATCTAAAAGGTCTGTTTAGTTATGCTGAAAGAGCTAGCTACAGTGGTGGTGCTGCTCACTCCAAGCTACTGGAGGATAACTTAAGTAGCTAATTACACTTCGGTCTGTAATCAAATCCATGTCAGGTTGTCTGAGAACCTGGATTTGTGCGGTGGATTTCAGTTAAATACAGGGGCAGCTTAAAACATTTTATGGTTCTCTCCTCAAATTAAAGTTTATTTCCGCAATCCCCTCTAAAATGTGTCATATCCCATTACGCAAATTTGGATATGGTAAATTAGCGAGGAGAGTGCTTACGCCATGAATATGTTGACTTTTTTTGTGCTGTGTGCAGAGGGTTTTGCTTGCTGGGGGTTGGGGGTGTCTTTAACTCTAAAAAGTTGTCTTGAATTTTCTCCCCCTCGCAAGATGATGTGTTTTTGCAATTCAAATATTTGCTCATTCTCCTCTCCATTGCAAAGCTCCCTTTGAAGCGGAAGAGTTCTATCAGGACCAATGACAGTGTGAGTGTGCAGCGTGACAGCGCAAGAGGCAGTGCTGGACTATTTCTAACTGCATATTTAAATAGCAAGGAAATCCAAAATCAAAAATGTATGCAAATGACGGCATGTTTTGCATGCTGATATTTTTATGATTCGGGGCTTGCATATTCAGGTGGTGTTCAGTACGTGCCTAGCTTTAGCAACATTAATCAGAATTACTTCATGTCTTCGCCACATCCTTGATCTCCCTCTAAACAAACATTCCTGGGGGTGGAAGGCCTGCAATTTGGCAGATTTACTTTTAATGAAAGCTCTGCTTAATGTTTTTATGGACTGCTTCAAGTGGAAAGACATACTTAAGGCCTTAGGCTTCATAGGGAAGTGTGTAACCCAGAAACTCTCAATACTTCCTTCTTAGAAATGATTTTTCTCTGCTGCACATTATGGAAGACCCTAACTACCTGATCTCATTTACATTCATCACAGCTATATATATTCTTCATGTTATGTGGGGAAGCCTCTCTTTTCACTTAAATGAAGATTTTAGATCATTATATTGAGCATTTGCACCGTGACGCTGTGCGTGGGTGCTGTGGGGATTGTACGTGTTTATGCAATGAGCAACACATCAAGACAAAGCCCTTGAAACGGGCCTTGAGCCTGTCTGCGCTCTTAAAGGTATAGAAAATACAGTATAAAATAATTAATTGAATTGTCATTTGTATGAGCAGCCCTTGCTCTCTGCACCCTATAATTCCAACCTCTTTCTCCCCCTTCCCCTCGCCACATTTTTTCCCTTCTTTTTTTCTAAACAGCAATTAATCTCATTTTTAGTCCAATTTCCAGCCCCGCTGCTGGAGTCAGAGCGAGTCCCCTGTTTTGTTCCTATTTGGCTTGGTTCCTCTGCATAGTCATTAAGGGCCCAATTAATGTCACCCTTTAGCTGAAGAGTGCTCATTTTTATTGGGGAGCTGACAGTCACCGCCATGAGTGCCGCAGTGTAATATGCATTAATTGCCCCGTAACACTGGTAATTACCAGTTCTTCAAGCCTCTCAGTAAACTGTCATGCCCAGACACGACTGCTTTGAAATAGATTACTCATTAGGGGGACCTGCCCTATTTTCCAATGGGGGCTCGCTGGGTTGGCATAAAGATGAAAAAAAATCTGGTGCTTGAACAAATAGTTGCCAAGAGCAATTTCCTATTACAACTTCCCTGTGACGGCTTTTCTCTTTCTTTCTTTCTTTTCTTTTTTTCTTCCTCAGATGGCATTCCAGCCGTCACTTGAGGTAAGGATCAGAAGTGGAGTTAGATGTCCATCACAGATAGCAGTCGGTTTGTCTTCGCGTCCCAGTTTGACTCCTTGAATGAAAATGTGCCTCGGGACTCCACCATTCAGCATATTGCCTCGGTTTTAGCTGAAATCCACAGTGTTGAATATATGTTTCTTTTTTTTTTTTCTTTCCTCGCCTTTGAATGCCCAGACCGTATATAAGTGCTGCATTGAAAGTGTCAGTATTGTTGCTTAACTCGGTTCATTTCAGACCTCTGCACATAAGATCAAGGCAGTGTTGATGTGAAGTTCTTGTTCAAATATTGATGCTAACTTTGCTCAGGTCTTGTGTTTGCAAACTGTGGAATCTCAGTTTTAAACATTAGCTTGTGCTTCACGGTTCCCGCAACGTGTCCTGCGTACCTGGAGAGAAAGAAATTGATAGCGAATGCAAATAGATGAATTTAAAGAAACAGTTAGAGGACAAAAGGAGGGGATGCAGCGTGGGTGCCACCGTTGTTCTGCGATAAGATATTATAAAAGGAGAGACCAAATCAAACACTGTTAGCTATCGCACATCCTCTCCGCAGAAGGTGTTGGCCTGTTTAGTCACGCTAGAAACAATATTTAGATTTCACCACAGCTTTGTAAACGCTCCAAGTGTGCGCTGCATGGGCTCTCCGGTCCCTGTTCTGTCTTTCTTTTTTTCAAAAGCACTTTTGTGTCATTACCCATTTACCATAGCAAGGAAAAGAACAGAATGTGAAGACCAGGGAAAAACCTCTCTCATGCACACACACAAGTAGAAAACACACACTTGCGTGCACACACAGAGCTTCTCAAAGGTGCTGCTTTTGTTTTATCTCCCTTATAGCACCTGCTTCAGGCAATCTGCTCCCACTCGTCTCAAATGAATTTTGTCACGGCCTTTCAGATTCTCAGCCAGCGATGCGCTAATGAAAGGAGATAGTACAATTTGAACTGACCAGGTAGCAGCCAGCAGTGCACAGCTGAGAGCAAGGCATGGGGGGGGGACACACACCCCTCCTTGAAACAAAAGACAAGTCAACCGTCCGCTGATATACCCATTACCCTTCTCATTAATACCCTGCAGACCTCGGCGCGTGAGCGTGTGCACCCGCGTGTGCTTGTGCGTGCATTTATCTGTTTGTGTTGGTCGAGCACTTATCGAATTGTTTATGACAGGCCTAATTGGGCTAATTGAAGACATTAAGATTACCTGTCAGCTGTGTGTATCCAGACTCCCTATCTGTCTGACAACTCCTGACAAGTGAGGGACCCCGTAGCATCCGCCATGATGGAGCATTCCCAGGCCGTAATAGGGACAATAGGGGCCACTCTAATTTGATGTGGACAGCCTTAGCTGTGCGGATCAGCCTCCCTTCATGTGTGTGTGTGTGTGTGTGTTTGTGTTTGGTTATGTGTGTGTGTGTTAAGTATAAGTGAGAGTTGGGGGCTTTGTGCATGGCCAGGCTAATGGAGTCCCCCTTGGCAATGTGACAAAGCAATGAGGCAGTGTGAGGGGGAAAAGTGAAAGGGGGCTTCAAGTGTTTAAGGACATGAGAGGGAAGGTGCTCGGGGTGACGGCCTTCGCAGATTGAGTGACACGAGGAGAGCGCAGACATCTGTGTGTCTTGTGTGGTTGTAGACGATCACCCATACTACTTTATTAGAACACCACCCAAACTTTTAGACATGGGGAAAAACCCAAATTGACCCGATTGGCCTACTTTGGTATGTTTTGGTATGCCCACAATTCTGCATATGCCTATTTTCTAATATTCAGGACAGTTGCAGAACACCATTTATAAGAAATATTATACTATGAGGCTCAGGAAATTCCTGGAAAAGTCATGAAATTTAAAAAAACAACAGTTTTCTAGGCCTGGAAATGGTTTGGAATTAACAGGTTGATTTGAAAAGTTATGAATATACATTGTTTTGGCTATTGTTTCAGATATGTTCTTAAAATTCCTTAAACATGTCTGACGTTACGTGAAATACATTAGCTGTATTACTAATTTAAAATGTAGTGTTGGGCTGTGTGACCGTCGAAACGTCTCTTATATCACATTATACACATTGACCAGAGCAGCATCGTGTCTTTGCCAAGGCCACGCCCCCTTTTGAGGGAAAGAAACACACTGTCACACTTGATTTGATTCATTTATCTTGAACATTTTTTTTAAAAAAATTATAATGAAATAATATAGCATATAGTGTAGAAAAACCCCAACAAAATAGAGACAAACAATATATCATAAACAGACTCATGATAAGAAACATAAATTAACATTTCATGTCCAAGTAGGAAGAAGCAACATGCTTGTCTAGCCCTACCCCCAATAATCAATCCATCACTAATCAAACTATTACATGAATACACTCCTCACCATTGATCAACCACATATTTACAACACCACTCCTTAATACCTGATAACCAATATTACCCCGTGTGTAAAACAAATACAAAAATACGAATTGAGAATACCGACAACAGTATCACCCTGAGTTTGCTTAACGTTCCCTCTAGTCATGTATGTACCTTGTGGAAAGACTGTCTTTGTACCTCTTTCTAAACTAATACCACAAAATCACTTCTCGAGTGGTGCGAAAACAACATTGTTTCAAATTCAATCTACCTCTTAAGTTGCGCCCCCTGCCTCTGTGTCCAAGAACTTTTTTTGTATGTTGCCCAGTAATACGTTATTTCTTCTTTAAAATTCACAAGATCCATAAATTTCAGTTCATGTGACTTTAAAAACAGGTTGTTAGTTTGTTCCTGATATCCAACATTGTGTAAAATTCTTATGGCTCTTTTTTAAAGTATGGATAATGATTGTAGGGTGGCACGACAGAAGAGCAACAGAAAAATGCCGAAAGTCTGTTGCGTAGCCAGTAAACGAAGACTTTCACACTGAGATTTGAAATGATACCTGGTGATTCAGTGAAATATACATATTGAATTGAATCACCAAGTGTCCTGATCCGGACATCTCAAATGTTCGGCCACTGTGTTGGGTCATTGATCCACTTGGTTGGGGGAAGATTGAAGGACCATGATGGCAATCAACCTTAATTTGTAAAGGTTTAACAGACATTTGTGTTGAGGCAAGGTCACGGAATAATTATTAGAAATGTCTGTGCAACAGATGTTTGTTTAACAAGAAACAAGTGCATATAAACTTGTCAAAATTATAATCCAAACAGGGTTGGCATTGGCATATGCAGTTCGTTGGTGGTGGGAATGTTTAGCAAATGAGTAGAGTTAGGAGGTGCTAGCAGTTTATCTGCAAATGCCTGGGAAGGTATGGCTGTATCGCTATATAGGCCCACCCATTTTAGAGTAAAAGCTATGGAAATAGGGTAAAATATTATGGAAAAGTAATGGAAAAGTTTTGATAAATTATTGGTAAAAATAGGCTATATAACAGTTTCAGTTGAATTGTAGTTTAGTTATTTTTTTCCTTTCCTGATCAGAGGTGCAGATATTCATAGATCACGGTTGCGTCGTCTTAAGCAGAGCCCAGTCCTATCTTCTAGGGCTTAAGGAATGTGCCTCTGCATATCTGTATCAACCCACCCTCCCTCCTTTCCTCCCCACTCTCCTCTCCCGTGTGGGCATTGTGTGGGGCTTTGCAGCGTTGTCGCTATGACAGATCAACGCTGTCAGCCCAGGAGATCCCTCTGTTTGTTTGTTCTCCTCCAAAAGGGGTTAAACTGTCAAGTTGACAACTCACAAGACCTTTAGACTCTAGAGCACTACCGCCTCTCCTCTCCCCCGTTTCTCCCTCTCTCCATGGCTCCCTCCTCCCCCACTCATCCACCTTCATCCCCAAACGAGTGAAAATCAATACCAGATTGCCTGAGGACCACTGTTTGGTGTGGGCCTGACCCCTAGATGTCCCCCACTCTGCTTCTTTCATTACATGTAGCCCAGTATTTAACTTCCATCCTCATCCCTCGCCTAATTAGTTTCGATAAGCTCAGAGTCTCTCTCTCTCCCTCCCCTCCTTCTCTCTTACACGTGCACTCGCACACAAGAGCCGCAAACACACATGGACATTTGGCTTTCTTGCCCTTTGAAGGGACACTCTGGGCTGGGAGTAATAAAAAGACAAATCCCAACACGCGCACAGAAGCCCTTAGTAATTCTTGAGCCGGGATTATTTTTTTGTTTGCATAGCAAATTTTTAAAAACTACAATGAAATTAGATTTGCACCCCAGATCATCAGTGAAAACACAGGGGATATCCTGTGTTGTCCAAAGCTAATGGTGCTCTGTGGTGGGCCTGTTAGCAAGGCTGCACCCTCACTTCTGTGGTTTTCCACTCGGCCTCATCGTTAGCTCGGGTCTCTGTTGAGTTGTCCACCCACAGACGACCATTGATATTATTCTAGAAGATGCTACTTGGCTCTTTTTAAATTTCCTTTTACTAAACTTGGTAAATAATTGATTAGCAAACACAGAGTTCCAGCGATTTGTCCGCTGGAGGTCTGTGTGTTTTTATGTACCACCCACATGTTCAGGTGCCGCCACAGCGCCGGCTGGCCCGTCGACCACTGACAAGCCCCAACGACATGTCGGCCCCCCTGCTCTGCTCCCCCCCAGGGGCTAAAATTACTCTCAGGAATGTAAACAGACTGCCGAGTAAGCACACGGCTTTCTGTGGCCCTTCGCCCGCGTCCTTCTCTAAACTTGCCCCCAAACTGGGACGGTTCCATTTTGGACTCGGAGGCCAAGGTCTGTGGTGAGGATACCTTTAACCTGGCTGCGGCTGCTTTGTCACAGCAGTCCTCCTGTTCAAGCAACAGGGCTAATTTCTGCGTTCGGCAACGATAATCGTATTACAAATGTTCTTCTGGAACAGCTGAAAAAGAAATATATAGTTTGTACTCTTTCTCCTCATATCTCCTTTCACCTTTTCATTGTAGCAGACAGATGGGCATTCACACCAATTCATTAGGTGTGTGGGGTAGCTGTAAGCGGTGGAG